TTTTTATCTCTTGTGGTTGCCTGTCCCAAAGAGTGCATACCTCCCTAGTGTTACTGTTCACTTTACATACCCATCCTTTGCCTGAAATTTGAACCAGGAGGTAAATTTCATTCCGGGATTGATAAAGTGTCTGAGAACACAGTATTGGGTAGTTTGTAATTTTAATGGAAACCGATCATTATATCTTTTTCCTCTGTGGCTGCTGCTAGGTGAGACCATACTGCCACCCTTTAGGTTGGCAGCAAAGCGCCCACCGATTATGAAGCCCACCAGGGCTTCTTTTCTGAAAGACCAGAAATATTGACACCATGACAGGTTTTATGTATTTCACTAATATTTTTTATATTAACACTGCTTCCCTAGTGATGGCCCATGAAGGGATGGAATATCATCTGCAGGAACAGTCAGACCCTCACTCTGCAGAAGCACCACCTCCCACTGAAGTGGTCAGCAGCCAAGCTGGACCACCTGTGCCCCAGCCTGTGTCGCAGGTATCCACTGACTTAACAGAGGAAGTGGTACCCTCAGGAGAAGAGCAAATGGAGACCATTGATCCAGGCCCTTCCCAGGGAGATCTGCTGGAATCTATTTCTAACCATACCATCAACACGGCTTCACTAGAGTCGATGACCACCTTTATCAGCGGGCTGCAGAGGCTTCATGGCATGCTGGAATTCCTGAGACCGCCACCTGCAGACCACAATGTGGGGCCAGTGAGAAGAAGGAGAGGTTCTGCTCCTCGCAGGGCAAGATCTGCAGGGTCTCAGAGGACAAATGGTACCAGGTAAATGTATGTGTCATAGTCCTGGTGCCATCAAGGATTGGCAGTGTGACCTTTGGCAAGCTAGGTAACCTTCCTGAGCATTCATTTTCTCATAAGTTAGATGGAAATAAAAGTACTTGTATAGTTTCCTATACAAAGTGTGAAAGGAGAGTGTGTACTGATGAGCTTTGAAAACTAGGAAGTCAAATATGTTTGATTGGAGATGTTTGATTGGCCGTATTTTCTGTAGAGATTGACTCTTTAGATCATGTGTGCCTTATACAGTACCAAAATGTATTTATTTTTTCTCTTTCTTTTTTTTTTTTATTACAATCCCCTCCCTGTAACAACAGTTATTCTCCTTATTCCTTGTGGCTCCTCATTTATATCTTATATTTCACAAATTAACAAGGCAAAAATATTTGATGTGCACTTACAAAACAAAAAAATATATTCATTTAAATGCCCAAAGTGCACATTCTGCAAGCCAACCTCCTGTCCACAAGCATACAGCCTTTCTCAGTCCACAGGCCTAGAGCCCACAACTGCTCTGTCTCCATGCCACTGCCTCTGCCACCATCTCTGCTGTTGATGCTTTTCTAGGTAGGACTCCACTCATGCTCTTCCTTCTTAATGGTCCTGGGATCATCTGTTCCTAAAATAAAAGATTAACTATAGCGTAGTGGTTACGAGTCGGGCTGCCAACCTCTCAAGGTCAGCAGTTCGAAACTACCAGTGGTTCCACGGGAGACAGATGAGGCATTCCACTCCCATAAAGATTTACAGCCTCGGAAACCCTGTGCGGAGTCACTATGAGTCGGAGCCAACTCCACGGTACTTAACAACAACAACAACAACAACTCCCCTCCTTTAAATTACAAGTCTTCTTTTACAGTTATGACAGTTGCAATTAATCCTGCTAACAATTACTCACAATGGAATCTAAAATCCTATCACCATCCTCCCCCATCCCATTTTACCAGCTCCATGTGGGAAAGAGGGAAACTATTCAGTGGGGATTTCACCTTAACCCCCTCATTCTGAAACTAAGTACAAGCGTGAAGGCTCGTAAGCCAGCCACTTCATGCCTTTATATCCACCTCTCACCCCCTCAGTTTGTTTGCTTGGGGGTTTTTTTTGTTTTTTTTTTTTTAAGCATTCTGGTTGTATTTTAGTTAAAGAAAAGTAGCCTTTCCCAAGGGCAACAAGTGAACTGAAAGTCAGGAGGAAGGTGGGTGCGGGTTCTCACAAGCTCTTGCTCCAGCCCCTGGAAGTGATCAGAGGGGGACTTCATGGAGGGGAAAGACCCCTGGCGGGCACCTCGGGGTAGCTGGTGCAGCAGAGGGATTCCTTTGGTGGGGTGAGTGGGGCACCAGCTCAGCCTTGGTCACTAGGTTGTTGCAAGTGAGCAGCAACGAGGTGATTTCCACTTGGGGTGGGTTGGCATGACTAACTCTTCTTGTTAAGTATTGTCGAGTCGATTCTGACCCATAGTGACCCTGTACAGGGTTTTCAAGGAGCAGCTGGTGAACTTGAACCACCGACCTTGCCGTTCAAACGGCTTTGCAGTCTGGCTCATTAACCCACAGTGCCACACCAGGACTCCAACTGTTCTTGGCGGGCATTAAATTAAGGAATGACACAGGGAGACGAGCCAAGAGAGTGACTTATTCAGTTAGATTCTGATGACTCACAATCAGGCAATAGTCTTTATCTGTTGCAATCGTAATTTCATTTTTCTTTGAGCGAATTTGAAGGAAGTTCTGGGGGTCAATTTCTCGCATGGGCCTGCGTGCCTTCAAGATGAAGTTGTGAGTGAAGTTGACGTACTGTGTGGTTAGTGGCGTTGTCCGTGGTGCTCTTGACGGGAATGCCGCCCGTGTTCACCAGGATGATCCCTGCACACCCTTCTGGCTCTGCAGCTGCTTCAGGATTTCTTCCACATCTGCCATCTTGACCGATCAGCTTCACGTCGCTGGTACCTGTATTCCCCCCCATTTTTAGTAGCCAATGTCTTAAGTTTCTTGTCCCTATCAAGGACACAAGGTTGTTCTCTGAGATGAAGAATCCTTCCATTCCAGTAGGAATTTAGAGTCACTGCATTTGTATTTGTATGATAAAACAGTACAGGGCCAGCTGTGGCTGTTTTGTACTGCCGTTTGATTTTAAGTGGAAACTGTCACTTTAAATTTCAAGGAGATCTGTGCACATGGATAGTAGAACCCTCCAGGGTAGGGTGTCCACTAGCTCAAGCATCCTCTCTAGTCTCCAGAATGGAGATGCACAGACTGCGAGAGGCCAGTGAACAGATAACAAAAAAAAAAAGAACATCCACATCTTTATCTCCACGGTTCTGTCAGGCTTCCATGGCTGCTCTGATCCTTCCCCTGCGTGGTCTCACCCAAGACCAAGATGGCGGCTCCAGGAACAGCTGAGCATATTGAATTAGAAAACTATGGATTTCTCTCTTCTACTACAAATCCCCTAGCTGTAAGTCTTCCAACCTTCTAAATAGTCCTTTACATGTGGTTCAGCATTCTGGCACCATCCTGAGCCTACATGGTCCAGTATTCTATGTTATTGCTGATGGAACTCCTCACTGCACTTCTTCCCGATCTGCCATCTTGTTTGTTCTCCACCCTCCTCATAGATTGCCCTCCGTGTCACCCTGGCTAACGAGTCTACTCTCTAGCCAGTGAATTACTCTTCCCTCCCTCCAGCCCCTGGGTTTCTTTTAATGTGGAAACCGTTTCGTAAGCCTTTACAGTAAAAGTGTCATACAATATGTGTCCTTTTGTGAGTGATTAATTTCACTTGGAGTCCTGGTGTGGCACTAATGTCTTGGACTGCAAAAGGTCGCCAGTTCAAGCTCAACAGCCATTTCTCAGAAACCCTGTACAGGGTTGATGAGTCAGAACCGACTCTCAAATACTTAACAACAATTTTACTCAGCATAGTGTTCTCCAGGTTCAACCATGTTATGAGGTGTTTTGTATTCTTCATGGTTGCATAATATCCCATTGTGTGTATGTACCAAAGTTTACTTATCCATTCTTCCATTGATGGGCACTTAGGCTGTCTCCATCCTTTCACTGTCGTGATTAGTGCTGCATTGAACATCGGTGTGTTCTAGCTCGTATTTTTTGTATGTATATACCAAATAGAGGGATTGCTGGATTATAAGGTATTTCTATTTCCAACTTTCTGAGAAGTGACATACCGTTTTCCAGAGTGGTTGACCATGTTATAGTCCCACCAGCAATCTAGGAGGGTCCCAATCTATTCACAACCTCGCTAGCGTTTGCTGCTTTCTGTTTTTTTGAACTTCAGTACTAATGCTGGTATGAGATGATACTAGAATGTTGTTTTGATTTGCATCTCTAATGGCTAATGATCATGAATACTTCTTCATATATTCATTGACTGCATGGATGTCTTGGTGAAGTGTCTGTTCATGTGCTGTGCCCATTTTTAAATTGGGCTGTTGACCTTTTTCTTGTAGAGGTGTTGTAGTTTTCTATAAATTTTAGATATTAGTCCCTCGTCTGATTTATCATTGCAAAAAAAATTTTCCCAGACTGTGGGCTCCCTTACTACTATTTTTGCGAAATCTTTTGATACACATAAGTTTCTAATTTTAGGAGGTTCCAGTCATCTGTTTTGTCATCTTCTATGTGTGCAGTTTTTTAATGTTTGACAGTGTATGTATGCCATGTTTGAAGAGGCTATGTCTTTCCCGTTTAATGTGTTTTGGCCCTTTGTCAAAGATCAATTGACTGTATGTGGGTAGATTTACCTCTGGGGTCTCAGTTCTGTTCTGTTGATCAACATATCTTTTGTAATACCAGTACCAGGTTGTTTTGACTTTTGTGGCTATGTAGTAATTTTTGAAATTAAGAAGTGAAAGGCCTCCTACTTTGTTCTTCTAAAACTGTTCTTTGATTAGCCGAAATCTCTTTCTGCTCCATATAAAGTTCGTGATCATTTTTCCATCTCTTTAAAGAATGATGTTGGAATCTGGATTGGGATTGTGTTGTATCTGTAAATTGCTTTGGGTAGTATTGACATTTTCACGATGTTAAGTCTTCCTGTCCATGTGCATGGTGTATTGGTCTATTCTTCCATTTTTGTTCATCTGTTTTGATTTCTTACAATGTTTTGTAGTTTTCTTTAAATACGTCTTTTCAAAATGTATTTCTTCACCTTACAAGTAGCCAGTCATACCAGATCCGTTGTTTGCTGGCACATCATTTCATGGCACAGTAGACTGAAAGTTGAGTAGGCTGGCTTTAGAAAAGCCTTGTGGAAACTGTGTGAATTCATTTGAGTACATATGATAATCCTTTCGATTTTTCACAACAAATTGCTGGGTCATTTTCTCTAAAAGATGTGGACACATGACCAACACACAGTAAACTTTACTTAGCTCTTAGGATATGGATTAAGCTCCAATGCAGGAATATAAAATCAGGAATGAATATTTAAAAAACGCTTGGATCTGTTTCACCTTCCAAAGACAGGAGTGAAAGTTGGGAATTGGTTGATGTTGAGAGGATTTACCTTCATATTACTGTTAGATGTTAGATATTCTTGTGATGAACAGTAGTTCATTGTATTGTCTTTCTGCATACATAGATCAAGAACACCTTTGAGTGCTTTCTTTCAAGTGAGCAGGACCCAGCCTCACTTGCCAGCCGACTCGTATCCAGAGACTAGGAATCCTGCCTCTGAAGAGCTGGTGACGTCAAGTAATTCTAGTTCCGACAGTGACAGTGCTGCAGAGGATGAAGAGGTTGTTCAGGAAGAGAACCTGGGACCTAATATTTTGGAAGGTATTTTATCTAGGTTTGGCCCAAGGCTACTATCAAAAAGGCTAGAAACTCTAAATCTGTGCTTTGATACTTTCCTTTTGACCCACATATATCATAGATTTTTCTGTGACCATAGCTATATGGATTCCTGGTGTGGCACTGCGGGTTAATGCACTGGACTGCAAAGTTGGTTTGAACTGTGAGGGTAGGCAGTGCAAGTTCACCAGTCACTCCTTGAAAACCCTATACAGGGTCGCTATGGATCAAACCGACTCAGTGGCATTTAACAACAACAACATCATTATATAGAAAAGATTATATCTGGCTCACATTGTTGGTGCTTTAAAACTCAGTATATTTAGTCAAGGAAATGAGTGCATATGTTCCAAAGACACAAATATAAATGTATTAGTGCCGTTTGAAATAGCAAAAAGCTCTTAAATCTAACAAATAGCCATCGGTGATAGAATGGGTAGTAATTGTGTAGTCACACAATGAAATTCTGTATAGCACTGAGAATGAATGGAATACAACTTTACATACTAGTGTGGAAGAATCTTAGCATAGTGTAAAGCAAAAGTAGCAGATATGAGAGAGGGTAGATATAAAGTGCAAAACCATTCAAAATTCATCTTTGGTGTTAGAATTTAGTATAGTTGCTTCCCCTGATGAATGGAAGATTCACTGTCTCTCCTGCTGCTCAGTTTTAGTTTCCTAGAGCTACCATAACAAATTACTACACTTAGAAGTGTAGTGGTTATGAATCGGGCTGTGAACCTTAAGGTCAGCAGTTCGAAACTACCAGCTACTCGCGGGAGAAAGATGAGGCTTTCTGCTCCCGTAAAGATTTACAGCCTCGGAACCCCTGTACAGGGGTCGCTATGAGTGGGAACTGACTCCACGGCACCTAACAACAACAACAAGAGTCTGACTTAACACAGTCTGAATGCTAGAAGTCTAAAACCAGCCCTGCTCTCTGCAGTCTGGAGGGGAAAATCTGTCCCATGTCTTTCTCTTGGCTTTCGGTGTTGCTAGCAAGCCTTGATTTTCCTTGGCTTGTTGATACCTTAATCTTTGCTTCCGTCCTCATAAGGCTCTCTCTCTCTCTGTCTGTTCTTTTCCTCTTTTTATAGGGATACCAGTCATGTCAAATTAGCGTTTACCCTAATGACCTCATGTTCCTTTGATTACATTTGCAAAGACCTTATTTCCAAATAAAGGCCACCTGTCTAGTACCAAGGGTTAGGGAAGCCAGAACATGCTTGCAGTATATTAGAAACCAAAACCCATTGCTGTCAAGTAGATTCTGATATTACATAGCAGCGGTATAGAACTGAGAAGCACTGCCTCATGGGGTTTTCGAGGCTATAATCTTTACAGAAGCAGACTGCTGTCCTATCTTTATCCGTCTAGTCGGTTCCGACCCATAGTGACCCTGTACAGGGTTTCCGAGGGTGTAAATCTTTACAGGAGTAGAAAGCCTGATCTTTCTCCCGCGGAGCAGCTGGTAGTTTCAAACCGCTGACCTTAAGGTTCGCAGCCCGATTCATAACCACTATGCTACCAGAGCTCACTGTCTTTTTGAACTACATCAGAGCAATGAATGCTCTGATGTAGTTCAAAAAGACAGTGTTCTATATCATAGTTTAGAGCGTAGTGACAGATCTTAAAAGCTCATGAGTGGCCATCGAAAGTGCAACTATCTATTGGTCTTTCACTGTATAGAGGAATGAAGAGTGATGAAAATTGAAGGCACTTGAAAACATTTGGTCCAGTGGCCTAATAGACCATGTGAACATCAGGTTCCATCACCCTGAGATGAGGCAAACTAGACAATGTCCAGCTACCACTCCCAACTGCTCTGAAAGGGACTATCTTATAACATCTTGGATACAGTGGAACAAAACTCAAAAGTCTTTTTTTTTTTTTAATCGGATATACTGGTCAGATAGAGACTAGTGGAACCCTGAGACTATGGTTTTTGGTCTGGAACTGAACTCACCTGCATCTCAGTTTTCAGCCAAGCAATAGTTAAGTATATAGCGAGACAACATTAGAGAGGTGTGCACACCACAGAGTGGTCAACCATTGGAAATCAAAAGGGTAGTATTTATCTGAAGACAAAATTGAGAAGAGTTGGAAAAGAGAGAGAAGTGAAAAGCTGAGACAGGGATGAAGTAAGATGAGTGATGTTACGAGAGCATTGTAATTTATTAGATGAAACAAAGTGTGATTTGTAGAATGTGAAACTGAAGATATCCTCTGTAAACCTTCACTCACTTTATAATAAAAAGCTTAAAACAAAAGAAGGGGGAGAAGCATAATGCTTTAAAGGCAGACTTTTTTTTTTTCCCTAAACTCACTGAATTGCTAGCCACAAGATCAGCAGTTCAAACCCATCAGCTGCTCTTTGGAAACCCTATACAGGATTACTGTGAATCAGAACTGACTTTTAAGTTTTTATTGTCAATTACGAATCGGGCTGAGAACCGCAAAGTCAGCAGTTCGAAACTACCAGCTGTTCCGCGGGAGAAAGATGAGGCTTTCTGCTCCCGTAAAGGTTTACAGCCTCGGAAACCCTGTACAGGGTTGCTATGAGTCAGAACCGACCCCACGGCACATGACAACAATTGTCAATTAGGTGGCAGTTTACAGAGCAAATCATTTTACATTCAACAATTTTCATTTTGTTGATTGCAGTGCAGTGGATGTACTAGCACTTAATTCCACTTCCTCCTTGTGGGTCTTGTTTCCGTTTCTTTTTTTCCTAACCCTTCTGAAATTTGTCCTTGAGTGAATGCTGCCCTTGGCGGAAGGTTGTAAGATGGTCTCAGGGCAGTGGTTTTAAGGATTCATTCATTGACCCTTAATGATTCCAGAAAGCTTTGAGTTCATGAAAACTTGAAATTCTGTTCCTCGTTTTCCCTTTTCGATCAGGATTCTTTGATGGAATCCTTTATCAAAATTTTTATAATGGTAGTCAAGGATACCATTCTGTTTTGGTCTCATAGCAAAGGGGAGACAGTTTTTCATGGAGGCAACTAACCAGGCAGATAGACATTTCATATCTTACTCCTGTCCTGATTCTCCTACATCTATTATTCCAAGTGAATAGAGACCAGTTTTCATGCCTTGGATTGCCTCTTACATGCTTTAAAGAGTCCAGGCGTTATGTAGCAAACTGAGTTAGAATAGAAGCACTAAGCATGTTAGTAGGAAGTTAAGTGGGCTGTCTCATGGAACCGTCGCTCTAAACCGCTAAACCAAGGAACCGAATTCCATGAGTTATTTGGTTATCCTTAAGCAGCCTCAGCAACTTTTTTTTGTCATTATTATAAATATATCTATTACACAGCTTTTGCTAATTGACCTTTTTGCAGTCGTACAATTTACTGATAACAATTACAGTAGTCGTCTATGTAACCCTAACGTTAATCAATATGACATTTTCCATCATAGTAGTTAGTCTTCCCCACCTTGCGCCCCAGATCATAAACTTGGTCTCTGTGTTGTTGTTGCGTTAAGTACCCTCGTATTGGTTCCAACTCATAGCGACCCTGTATAGGGCTTCTAAGGAGTAGCTGGTGGGTTTGAACCACCCACCTTGCAGTCAGTCAGCAGTCTAGTGCTTATTCTGCGACACTACACTTGGTTTTACAGAAACAAAAACAAACCCCATATTGTTGAGTCCACTCCAGCTCAGCAACGCTATAGGATAGAGGAGGACTTTTTAAAATAGGGTTTCTATAATAAATCTGTAGGGGAGCAGATAGCCTCTCATCTTTATCCTATCGTGCAGATGACTGGTAGGTTTGAACCACCAATTTTGTGGTTAGGTGTCGTGTAGTGTTTCACTTTGCCACCAGAGCTCCAGTCATTCTGTAGCCTGTGCCAAGATTTCACTTCTGGTTGAGCCGTATTTCACACATTTATGTGTACCTCATTTGGTTTATTTCTTCATCTATTGATAGGTATTTAGGCTATTTCCACTTTTTGGCCATTGTGAATAGTGTTGAAATATCCATTGATATAAAAGGTATGGGGGCTGGGGACTCTTGAAGGTGGCTGTTAATGTTTTGGTTATAGTGCAGTTGGTGAAAATTCATCAATCTCCTCTTTATGTATGTTCTACTGCAATACTATTTTAATAATTTTTCAAAAAGTCAAGTCCAGTTGAAGATGTTCTTACTGGACTATCATGGGACAAAAACAACATGCTACAACAAAAATATTTATCATGAAGACTGGATTCTGATGAAAATAAATCCTCTGTAAAAACCTTCTATGAGAGATTATAAGTATACGCTGAGTGTTAATAGCTATTAAAAGATTGTTGTTAATTTTGTTAAGTTCAGTGGTGCAGTGTTGGTGTAAAAAATGATCAGTTCATGTTCTGTAACTGTCAGAAGTGTAATGACGTTTTTAGGCTTTGTTGTTAAATATTCCAGCAAAATGAAAATAGAGGCTTAGATGGAACAAAATTGTCAAAATGCCGATTTTTAAAAGAATTGTGTGATATGTACTTGTGGGTTAATTATACTGTTCTTTCTAATACTTGAAAATAGATTAAAAATAAATTCCCTGAAGCTGCTCAGGAAAATTGTCATCCCTTTTGTGGCAGTGCTACTACAATTAAAAGTGAAAAACCCTGTTGTGAGTCAGGCTCTCTCCTGCTGCTGTCTAATACTTGACAGTCTGTTTTGTGTTTACCAATCCTGAAGTTCATGGAAATGACGTGGCAGAACCACCAGGAAGAACCTCAGCAGAGCAAGAAGTCACATGTGGTGATGGAGGCAAGGACGTCCCTAAGCAGGTAAAGTGAGCATCTTTAAATGGAAGGATTGGGTGTTGCAGCCTAAAAGGAGTTGCAGGTTGTATAAATGGTTAACATGTTTAGTAGTCTACCTAAAAATGCCTCAGAAGAAAGGCCTGGTGATCTACTTACTTAAAACCAACCATGGAAAACTCTGTTAGTACCAGTTCTAGTCTGACATAATGGGCTAGCTGTGAGTGGGAATCAACTTGAGGGCAACATAGTACAACTTCATTATCATCATCACATAGGGTTAAACATTGTGCTGATGATAAAGCTGCATGGAGTTCCTTCATCTGAGTAAATTTTTCATTAACTCTTCTCTTGTAATATGCACTGTGGTTGTCTCTCTCCTTTTTTTAAAAATCTGTTACAATTCATATGGTATAATTGTTTAGCTAACATTTGACTACATCCCAAGGTATATTGCTAACAGAGAGATTGCTGTGTCTAAGGAAATTTATTTTCAATATGATTGTTATGTGCCGTCAAGTCGATTCTGACCCATAGTGACCCTCAACAGGGATTCCAAGGCTGTAAATTTTTACGGGAGCAGAAAAGCCTCATCTTTCTCCCACGGAGCAGCTGTTAGTTTCGAACTGCTGGCCTTGCAATTTGCAGCCTGATTCATAACCACTACGCTACCAGAGCTCCTTTGATTTCCACTAATGCCACATTGCTCAAGGCAAGATAATGCCATTGCCTTGTCAGTTTTTCTGTGCCTCACCAGTCAAGTCTGCTTTTTCTCCTGCACTCTTTGCCAGTGTTTGGTGTCGTCAAACTTCAATTTGTATCAATCTGATAACATTCTGGTGTTTTGCATGGGGGTGGTCTCCATGAGTTGGGCGCCAACTCAATGACAGCTATAACAACAGAGAGCAAAATGGTCTGTAATTTGCATTTTAAAATATTATAAGTAAATGCTTGTTGATCATTTATTTTCTTTGAACTGTTTGTATTTTTTCTTTGTTTTCTTATAATGTGCCTTGTCCCTGCCCCTAAAGCACACACGCACACACAGAGGTTATATTTTATAGGTACCTGAGTTTGCACATATCTCCCGTTTTGGTCTTAGTTATCTGGGTAGTTGACAGTTTTCGTTTTGTTTTTAATCTTTGTTCAGAGTTTCTTTTCTTCATCTGAGTAAAGAATAAAATATCCAAGATTTTTATAAGTTCAAAAAGTCGGAGTAGTATTTCACGGCTTTAATTACATTTTGCCTGATTGCCTTCTAGGAGGAAGGACAAGTGATTCATAGCTGTTACTGTTTTTCTGTAGTCTTTTCTATTGTGTGCTTTTGTCAATTTGCAGATCCTCCTCAATGCTGACTTTATATCTTCTCTAATTTGTAGTCTCCCCAAAAGTCCAACCCTCCTCCCCCTTCCGAGACTACAGATGAGGAAGATGGAGACACTTGCACAATATGTTTGGAGCAGTGGACCAATGCTGGGGACCACCGGCTCTCAGCCTTGCGTTGTGGACACCTCTTTGGGTATAGATGCATTTCTAAGTGGCTGAAGGGACAGGCACGTAAATGTCCCCAGGTAAGGACCATAAGTAAGGGCTTATGTGTATGTTTATAGACAACATATTAAGTCAGGAGGCAAGAGGTTTCCTAGAACCACATTAATTGTGTTGTATTGGACTCTTTAGTGCAACAAGAAAGCCAAGCACAGTGACATCGTTGTCCTTTATACCCGAACCCTGAAAGCTTTGGACACTACGGAACATGAACACATGAAAAAGTATGTGGTGATTATCTGCTTAGCTAAAACTTTTCTTTTTGATGCCTTTTAGGAACATCTGAGAAGAGGATATTAAGAATCAGTCTTAGAGTGGTCCTAAGGTTTACTTGGGCCAGAACTTAGGATCTTTGGGGATAATATGATAATTATTCTGGTTACTTTTCTGAAAGGGGTCTACCTTGTTTGTTCACCATGCAACATCAGTAATGAGGGTCTGCTACCCTACTTAAGTGGGGGATTGCCACTTATCACCAAGCCCTCCAGCAGCAGCTCTCTATGCAGAAGCTTTCCATGTGCAATGCACTCTAAGAACTGGCCAGGATTTTCAAAGGTTACTAATAACACTAATGCTTTAAGAACTTTCAAAAATGAAAATCTCCACCTTGACAGAGGACCAACAGACATGAGAATTCACTAATTGAAGAGAAAGTCCACAGGCCACAACTATTTAGAAAGACCCTTTGGCAATGATTCAAAAGCTTTTTAAAAGCCTTTGAACTAGTAATATTACTCCAGACTTTTATTCTAAAGAAATGGTTGAGGATATGTGCAAAGGTTTATTTATGAGAGTTTTCATTGTTAATAACCGAAAACAAATGATCAGTAGGTTGAGTAAACGGATCCATGATATGAAACACTGTACAGTCTTTAAAAGCAATATTGAAGAGCACATACTGAGATGTGTTTGTTACAGGATGTCACACGATGTTTTAAGCGGATACTCTCAACGCTTGATCTCACTGCAGTAAAAAGCAGTTTGCTTGTAAGTGGGCCTCTCACAGTTCAAACCCATGTTCAAAGGTCAGCTGAAAAGTATGTACGTTTTCAGCTGCACCTCAGTCGGAGCCCATAACCCCTTTGTTGTTCAAAGGTCATGTGTTTGTAAATGGCATGGCTGTTAATGGGTGGTGAATCACTAATTGCAATACACTGGAGTCCTGATTACACTGGTTAATGCGCTAGACTGCAAACCCATTTGAACTACAAGGTCGTTGGTTCAAACTTAGCAGGTGCTCCTCGGAAAACCTATACAGTGTTGCTATAGATTAGAACTGACTCAAAGGCTCTTAACAAATCTGTCACTGTGCTCCTTAGCCTTCTTAGAAGAGGAAATGTTTTTTAAATGACAATAAGTACAGAAAATGGATACTTTGTACGCAAGTTTATTAAATTTTATTTTGTCATGTTTGCTTTGGGTCTTTTACAAAGAAATAAATCATAATACATATACTAAGAGCTTTTTATGTGAACTAAACTCTCCTTCATTCTATGTCTTTCCCCAGAGATAAAACCACTTTTCCTAAATAAGTTATTCTTCATTCCAAAGAGTGATTATATATTTGACTAGCTGTATATGTATTCATGTAGTTATATCTAGAAAGTTTTATTACTTTATGCAAATGTTATGTTGGATTGTATCTTTACTTTTCTAGCTTGTCTTTTTTTGTTTTAATGTCTTGTTACATTAATACATGTAACTAGTTCATTTCGGTTGAGGAATGTTATTGATACTGATTTCATCAACCTTGCTGAACTCGACAGTGCTGGTGTCGGTTCTGACTTGTAGTGACCCTGCACAGGGTTTCCAAGGCTGTAAATCTTTACGGGAGCAGAAAGCTTCATCTTTCTCCCACAGAATAGCAGGTACTTTCAAATTGCTGACCTTGAGGTTAGCAGCCCAACTTGTAACCACTGTGCTACCAGAGCTTTATCCTGTCTCATTGGATTGGATATCTAATCTGAGTTTACTATGTTTCATATATATAAATTGATGATAAATCTTGGTGAATGCATCCTTGTATTCATTTTTCCTTTGTGCATGCAGATTAATGCTTTCATTCTAATTGGTGTTTGGTTAGCATTTGCCTAGTGAATACTTTCTGTTGAATTTCAGTCTCTTTTTTGTGTTATTGTTTGAGTGTCTGACATACAGCAGACAGCTTGATTAGTAATTTTTTTTTTTTATCCTCACAGATAACCTTGGTCTTTTAATGTTGTTGTTGTTGTTAAGTGCCGTCGAGTCGGTTCCGACCCATAGCGACCCTGTACAGGGTTTCCGTACAGGGTTTCCGAGAGTGTAAATCTTTACGGGAGTAGAAAGCCTCATCTTTCCCTGCGGAGCGGCTGGTAGTTTCGAACCGCTGACCTTAAGGTTCGCAGCCCGATTCGTAACCACTACGCTACCAGAGCTCCTTTTAATATGTCTGTTTAATTCCTTTCATTTGGCCCTAGCTTCAAGCAATGAACTTGATTCTGTTTCCTCACTTTGCTGTAGCATGTTTACTCCCTATTCAACAGCAAGGTCCAAACTTCTGCCTGCTTTAACACCAGAGCCCAGTAAGCTAGGACTTAGCCCTGTGTTCTACATGCGGTGTTGTGAAATTTTTTTCTTTTTAAAAAAATTGTGATATGTTTGTAGCAAAGTATGTGTATCACAGCATGATTTACTGTGCCATCTTGTTGGGAAGTCTTCCCTAACCTTCCTAATCCTACCGCTGCTTTCTGCCTTCCCCTCTAGTTCCTTGCTGCAGGAGCAGATGATAAGGAAGCAGGCCGAGATAGAATCGGCACAGTGCCGCCTCCAGCTTCAGGTCCTCACTGAAGAATGCAGTAAGCTTCAAGGTCGTGTCCAGGTGAGCTTGCCCTTCCTTTGTTAACTAATGAGTTTTTAGAATAGGAATTATAAAGAAGAATCTGACACAAATAGGTCATCTCAGTACAAATAGGATTTGCCAAATGTTTTAAGTGTGACCCGCTCTCTGTATCACTTCTAATTAGGTCATTTCTTGTGGTCTTACAGTCTGTGGCACTGTGGGTTAATGCGCTAGACTACAAAGTCAGTTTGAACCGCAAAGGACTCGATGGCACTTAGCAACAACTGTAATTGAAGTTTTAAAGTGAATTTAAAGAATAATTCTGAACTTGTTTAAATCCTTTCGCCTTCTGGAATCTACCAGAAAAAAATGAGTTTAAGACAGAGTGACCATTGAGGACTTCAGCCCTAGTATTTGATGATTCTTTGCTCTCTTTATTTCACTAGCTTATTGAAATACTGTGAAAACTACAACAGTTTTCTAGAATTTGTGTTAACATTGCCATATAATGGCTGTGAGATCAAAGGATTGCAATTGAGGCTAAATATCACACTAAAAAGCTTTTCTCTTACGAAAACTTTTCCTTTTAGGAACTGCAAAAACTTTTGCAGCACCCCGAGAGCTGCCAAACAAATTTCCTAAGCTCCCTGCCCTCCAGCCAGGGCCAACACAAGTACCATTTCCATAAGACCTTCTCGGTGTCTCAGTCAGGGAACTGCCGCATCATGGCATACTGTGATTCTCTAAGCTGCCTGGTGATGTCACAGCCTTCTCCTCAGGCCACATTCCTGCCAGGTAAGCAGTTGAGAAGTTCACCTTTCTTGCTCCTTGCTTCTTTTGAAGGATCCAGGTCTCATGAGTGAGTGAACACCGGCCACAGCCCATCAAATAGTCTTTTCTCATCAGTTCCCTGTTCATGCAAAATTTCTAGGTGTGGCAAAAACATCTCTGATGTTTGCTTACTTTATTCTATAAATTTGCTCACCAATGGGTGGAATGCTGATCCATGGTAGAATGGGTGAAGATGCACTATTTGAAAGTATGGATGGATTATTGGTGTATCCCAAGGACGATGTCATTCTTATATGTCCTATTAAACCCATAGACTGATTTTAGACTGGTAAAGCTGAATAAAACACTACTTAAAGGGCTAAGTCAAGTTAAAACAAGATTAATGTCTCTTCGGTAGAGTTCAATTTTATAAATTCAAAAGAAAGTATTTGATTGGGAAGACTTGGTGGCACAGGGTTTAGGCTTTAAAGCTGCTAACTGGAATATAGTGAAGCCCACTAACTGGTCTCTGGGGAAAGTTGTGGCAGTCTGCCTCTTTAAAGACTTGTAGCCTTGCAGGTAGTACTCATTTGGCCAAGCTTCAATGGCTTGATAACCAGAGCTTGACTACAGGAAGATAAAGAAATTTGTTAAAGGAGGCAAATGTAAATTGCTACAATTTGATGAACTTGACATATACTTACGGTATATGTCATATACTTATGGTATATGACATATACTTATGGTATACTTTGAGTAGCTCAAAATACCAACCAAAAGGAAAGGAGTCTTCACATCAAGGATCAAACCTATCCCCTTGGTATACAGGGCTGATAGGGACGGGCAACTTAGGCTGATAAAAACGGGCTACCTAAAATGGTGGTCGGACAATGAAGGCACGAAGTGGCTGGCTTATGAGTTTTCAAGAGGCAGTTTAGTTTTAGAGTGTGTGGAAGAAGGTAGAATCCCCACTAAATAGTTTTCATCTTCTTTGGATGGGTCTGGTGAAAGGAGATGGGTATAGGATTCTTTTGCTTCAATAGTGACTAATTGTTACCATGACTAATTGCAAGTCTCACAACTGTAAAGGTAGAAGTTTTGTAACATAAAGGGGGGAGTAGTTAATCTTACATTCCAGGAACAGAGGACCCAAGAGCAAGGGAAAAGCACATGAGCCGAATGTGGGACCCTATCTAGAGAAGCAGTGACACCAGAGATGATGGGATGGAGAGAGGGGAACAACTGAGGACTCCAAACTCATGGAAAGAGAAAGACTGCTGGCAGCCAGGAGCAATGCTTGCAGAATTTGCCTTTTGGTTGTTTAAATATATATTTCTGAGTGTTTTGATGTACTTAAAAAAACAGGTAATAGAAGCAAATACTGTTAAATGCTGATGCATGGAGAGGATTATAATCATTGCAATGAACTAAGATAAAATAGGATGAGTGCAAAGCCATTGTTCTCCCATGTAAGCTATCACTCAATTCACAATAAAAGCTTTTTTTTTTTTTTTCCAAGGTTTTTATTGTGGGTTGAGTGAAAGTTTACAGGGCAGATTATCAGTTTCACATTCAACAAATCATATACCTTGTGTCATTACAACGATTACAATCCCCTTCATGTACCATCAGTTAGCAGTATTACTCTCTATTCACTTTAGCTTTTTAAAAAAAAACAATAAAACACGTAGACATATATAATAATTTACACCTCCAAAGGGCACATTCTACAAGTCTGCCTGCTGGCCACCGTTTCTTAGTCCCTCTCTTCCCATGAATCTAGAGTCCTTAGCCGCTCCCTTTCTCCATGTCCCCATCTCTGCCTCTGTCTCTGGCATCACTGCTTCTCTGGATAAGGTCCCGCATTCTGCCTGTGCTCTTCTCCCTTGATAGTCCTAGGGTCCTCTGTTTCTGGACTGTAAGATTAACCACTCCCCTGTTTTTGTTACAAAGCTTCTACCTTTACAATTGTGACAGTCGCAATTAATCATGATAACAATTATTCACTATTGAATCATACAAATCTTAACCCCATCTCTTTTCACCAGACCCATCTAGACTAGATGAAATCTATTCAGTGGGGACTCTTTCTTGCTCCACACACTCTTAAACTCCTTCTTGAAACCTTGTAAGCCAGACACTTCGTGCCTTTAGGCTAGGTCAAATGGGTACTGTCTGCAAGTTTGGGTGTTCTTGTGTATCCCCCCTCACTTCATATCAGCTGGATGCTTCACTCTCAGCTCTAGCCCTCTGTGGCTATGTCCTTGTCCATGGGCTCAAGCATTCCCAGGTCTCACCACACTTTGGACCAACCAGCCCTTGTTCTTCCCTCTTTCATCTCCAGGTCAACAGGAGCCAATGGACTCTGGTTGAACTCAGCCCATTTCTTCATTGCTGCCTTTCCCCCTTTTCTACTCACCTACTGGCGACCACACTGGTCTACTGACCAGTGTGGTCGCCAGCAAGCTTACATGCCTGTTTGTGTGTTCCCTTTGAGTTTCAGTCTTAGGAGTTGGTTCTGAAGGAACTTGATTGCTTGCCTTGATGGCTTCCTGCCGAACAGCTTCTGTATTCTTGTAGTGGCCAGTCCTACTGACATTTTTGTTTTGGGTGTTTCCTGATGATCTTTCTTCGAAGATGTATCTTCTGTCACTGTAGCTATTCCAGGATGGTCTGCTTGTCCTTTCTAGTGGGAATGTCCCACCACATAAGGTTCTGGATGGGACTTGGGATTCTACCTAAGGTCCTATACTCTGCAAAGACTTTGCAAGAGGCCTATTTTACTGAGCAATTTGTAAAACCCCTTTTAGGTATTCCATTAAAAAAAAAAAAAGTTGTATCCTTGGAAACCATTTGGGGCCGTTCTTCCCTGTCCTAGATCGTCACTTAGAGTTAGAATTGACTCAGTGGTAATGGGTGTGCTAATGTTTCTGTTAGTAATGTTACAAAATTTTCTATTTTGTAATTTTGAAATATTATTTTGTAATTTTGGTGGTATCTTACGTAGCATATTGGGTTCCCACTTGACAGTTCACTGATACTACTTAGCCTTTTCCCAACAAGTCATGATTTTCTTCAAGTTCTGTTGTTTCCAGTGCTCTAGTGTCTTTTTGTCTTCTCATCTTTGTGTTAGTTTGTTTTTTAATGGAGCATTGTTCTCATGGGTAATATCCTGTATTTTGTATGCCAGTCTTTTATTATATTAAAAAGTGACCTCGAGATAGTTTTGGTTCAAGGTTTTAAAGTATATTGGGACAGTAGTCGCAGGAATCTTCTAATCTCCACTGGTCCAGTAAGTCTGGACTTAACAGGAATCTGAGTTCTGTGCTGCTATGAAGGTCCTTCTATCGTGTCCCTGATCAGAACAATCTGGGGTATTCAGGCACCATCTAGTTCTGGGATCTCAGGGTGAATGTGGCCAAGGATTGTGTCAGCTGTTGACCCTGCTTTGTGTCTTTAAACTTAATTTTAGGTTGTCTTAATGTTGGAAACCAAACTTCCCGATGTTGTTATTGTTAAATGTGTTCCTACTCATAGCAACCCTGTATAGAGTTTCCAAGAAGCAGCTGGTAGGTTTGAGCTGCCGACTTCGTGTGCTTATCCTACAGCACCACACCAGGATTCCAGATCTTGCCTTGTGTCCAATGAAATTATTCCTACATGTTGCACATGTTTCTTACTCTTTTTCAGTATATGACCTCTGACAGCTACCAGGCTCCTTTGCTTCATCTGGTATTCTGTTTCCCCATTTAGAAGTTCCATTCAAATGCTCCAAAACTGAGGTTATTATATGTATACATCCCTATCCTCTGATAATAACTGAGTTGCAATGCTACTGGGGTGCGTTGAGGGGCGGGGGTGTCCCAGTGAAGAGAAAGTAAGCAGGATTGTGTTCTGTCTGTCTGGGTCAGAGACCTATGGGAAGGGAAGATGCCTGTATTTACTGTCTCTCATTAGTGGCTATCAAGTCAATTCTGAATTGTGACCATTCTTATGTATGCAGAGTAAAATTGCTCCATAGGGTTTCCAAGGCTGACATTTTGGAGTACCTTTGATATGGGTTGTGTAAAAGGGATGTGGGGGTAGCATCTGACCTCCTCATTTCATAAGGTGGGAGGAAAATCAAAACTAATATAGCTCAAGGCCTCTCCCTTTAAGGCAGAAGTCAGACAGACTTTCACCCTCCAATCTTTTAGCCAATTCTAACACCAACCTTCCCTCCTATGACACTCTACTTCTCTACTGGATTTAATCATTCATTCATTAGCCACATAGAACTTACATGTAATACACAGATCTATGGGGTTTATTTGGGGAAGCAGCAGGTTGCAATTCTGCATCAGCAATTACTCAGGAAACAGTTCACCATCAGAACAGTCTCTCAGCAGTGCCTACTAGGACGCCCAGGCACCTCAGCCATTGCCCTGCTTGACAAGTGTTTGAGAACTCAATAAATGCCCACTCTGCCAGTAAATCTCCTGCCTGAAAGCTCAACTTTCTCTCTCCATGGGCAGGAAGCTTGGCTTGATTCTGTTGCGTGTTTCTTATTGGTGATGAGATCCCCCTTTCCACCTCAGGGACAGCGAAACTGACCAGTTTCCACAATAAGGTTCTGTATGCCTTACATAGTCCTGGTGTGGGACTGTGGGTTAATGTGCCAGACTGCAAAGCCATTTGAACGGCAAGGTCAGCCATTCCAGCTCACCAGTTGCTCCTTGGACACCCTATACAGGGTCGCTACGATTTGGAACCCACTCAACGGCACTTAACAACAACAACCCTACAAGAGTACCATGTACCTTATCTAGATTATAAGCAAGCTATCCAGTCCCCTTGTTGGGTGGGCCACAGGTACCACATTTGCAGAGTCCTGGTGTGGTGCTATCGGGTAAGCACTGCACTGCTAACTACAAGGTTGGGCGTACAAAACCATCAACTGCTCCTCGGAAACACTATACAGGATTGCTATGAGTCAGAACTGACTCATTGACACTTAGGAACAACACCAATCATTTTGGAGACCACAGTGGTTCTATAGCCCCAAGGTCAGCAGTTTGAGCCCAGCAGCCTCTCCACAGAAGAAAGATAAGGCTTTCTGCTTCTGCAAAGATTTATAGCCTTGGAAATCCTATACAGGTTGCTATGAGTCGAAATCCAACTTGGTGGCACTTAACAACCAGTCGTTTGGTGGGAGTTCCAAAGATTAAGGCTAAAAGGGCCGTATTAAGTCATTCAGGGCACTGCAGACCAGAACCACCAACCTTTCCACGTAGTCAGGTAGATGCTCGGTGCTCAACCGTCTGTTCCACCAAGTCTCGGTGAACAGGATTGCTTAGAGAATGTGCCTCTCGTCACGGAATAAAACCTTCCCCTCAAACTGAAAAGTGACGTGTTTTCTCTAATTGTTCTCCAAACTGGTTAGGTTCTGTTCCTTTTTTCTTAATGTATATGTGCTGCTTGATAACCTGCCAGTGCTAATTTGTTCTTGTTCCCTTGGTTCTGTCTCAGGAGAAAATGCAATAAACCTGCTTCCATTTGGTTCCCTGGATAAGCTGAAATAATGATTCAAAGCTACCAAAAATTAGGATTTGACAAATTCTGTTTGTTTTGTTTTTTAGCTCAGATAATATTTAATCAGAATAAATCTGTCATCGTATCAAGAGAACAAAGTAACAAATAAATTTTAAAAGATTTCTTGGCTTTTTCCCCTTCAGGAATTACTTGCATTGATTAGGGTACTTGAGATGTCATCTGTTTAATTTCATTCCAGACAGACAGATGGGCGCATTGTAATCACCTGGCAGAGTAAACACTTCATCTTCTTTCCCTATTTTTTTGGTCTCTTGAATGTCTGATTCAGATGTAATGTTCTCTCTCGTTCCCCCCACACACACCCCACCCCAACTTTGCTGCCTTACTAATGCATAATAACTGCACTCTTTTAAAGTGCAACCTTTGATGAGCCTTGACCATGTACACACCCCTGAAGCCATTCCTGGAATTAAGAGAATTAACATATCCACCGCCTCAAGAGTTTTCTTTTGTCCTTTTGTGTAGACCCACATCCCCAGGCAACTGCTGACTCTGTCATTATAGAGCAGTTTGTGATTTCTAGACTTTTATGTAAATTCTGTAACTAGAATCATTTCTTACAAACTTTTATGCCTGGCTGCTTTCCTCAGCCTTTTTCTTTGGGAGGAGCGAGTTGATCCAGACAGATGTGTGTATCAGTAGTTTGTTCCTTTTTATTACTGAGCGCAATATTCCATTTTATGTGTATGCAGTGGGTTTGTTCTGGTGTGGCGCTGTGGGTTAATGTGCCAGACTGCAAAGCCATTTGAACTGCAAGGTCAGTGGTTCAAGCTCACCAGTTGCTCCTCCGAAACCCTATACAGGATTGCTATGGGTTGGAACCGACTGCCAACACTTAACAACAACAATGGGTTTGTTTATCCATTTACCTGTTATTGGTATTGGGAATGTGTTTTTTAAAGAAAATTATAACCCCAGGAAATAATTTACTTTATCTGACTAGCTGTTTCACAGAGACTTACATACCAAGAAACGTGAGCAAAGGAGTTCTTCATGAAAATGAGCTAATTTTGCCCTAAATTGAATTTCAGTGACTTAATTTATACTCTGTATGTTTTAGGCTTTGGTGTTAAGATGTTGAGTACTGCCAACATGAAGAGCAGTCAGTACATTCCGATGCATGCCAAACAGATTCGCGGATTGGCTTTCAGCAGCCAATCCAAAGGTTTACTGCTCTCCGCTTCCCTGGACAACACCCTTAAACTGACTAGGTGAGTGCTTCAGGGAGGGAGATGGGGGTGATGAGCAGCTTGGAATTAGGATCCAGAGAGGTGATGACATGAGTTCTCACTTGTGGACTAAATCCTTCTCTTTGAAGATCTAGGCTCATTGAATTTAAAACATACTACTTTTGAAAGTTATCACAGAAAGTTGCAAAGGAGTATGTGTGATACCGTTTCTTTTAAAATAAATATTCCAAAAGGGAACTGCATTTGTATAGATGCAGGCAACATCTTAGGGATGGTAGAGTAACAGAGAAAATGACACTTTCACCCTGGAGCCCTGTCAGGTCAAGGCTGCTTAGGCCTGGTCTCTTAGCTCAGTAATTCTGCCTGACAAAAAACACTCACCAGGCATTTGCTCACTGGATTTCTATGAATGGTTTCTTTCATACCCTCAGTTAGTTATGGCATTTTGTTATCCATGTACTCTTGAGTATGAAGCAGATCTGACTGCCTGTTCATTTTCTCTCAATTTTTATCATGAAAACATACCAAAAATTCTGCCAGTACAACTTCCCTATTTATAACTCGAAGAGCATTGATTACATGTTGCGTCACTGTTGTTAAGTGCTGTTGAGTTGGTTCCAAGTCATAGCTACCCTATATGAGGGTTCCAGTGCTTTTACATCATTATCCTGAGAAAGGGGATGGCGGGCTCAAAGTGCGGGCTCAGTGTTCAGTTGGAACCACGGAACTCTTAATTCACCATTGTCTTTACTGAACACATTACACCACTTAACATAAACTCATTGTGCCCCAAACAATTCTTTCCCATCCTTGGAAATTATTAATAATTTTTTGTTTTTTATATATTTGCTTATTTCATATTAGCAAGATGATACCATGTCTGTTCTTCTGTGACTGATACTTCCTTCACAGTTTATTCATGTTGTGGCATGCATCAGAACTTATTTCATTGGAGTCCTGGTGTGGCGTTGTAGGATAAGCACTGAACTGCAAGGTCAGTTTGAACCGAAAGGTCATCAAACTCACCAGCAGTGGCTCAGAAACCCGATACAGGGTCACTGTGATTTGGAAACAATGTGATGGAACTTAACAACAACAATGATATCTCCTTATATGGATATACAAGGGATTTCAGAAAAGTTCTTGGGGAAATTTCAGTATCTTTGTTTCCACCTTTTGGCTCTTGTGAAAAGTACTTCAATGAATGTTGGCGTACAGGCTTTTGTCTTTTCAGAACTAGTTTCAATCAGATATTGGATCCTTGGCTTCTACCTAACTTCTACAACTATATCTGAGGAAGTCCTGATGGTCTTACCAGTTCTGATAAGTCCTATGACTTTTCAAGAAAGCATGGGCTTAATTTTGGCCAAAACCTCAATGTGATTATTATGTTTCACATGTGTGTGTATGTACTATATATATATATTTAGTGTCATTTAGAAACAGGGAGAAAAGATTAAATATTAAACTGTTACTAGTGACCACCTCTATGCAATTGCATTTTTTTTTTTCTTGTGTATATTTTTAAGTTTTGTGCATTGAATATTGATTACCTGTGTAATAGGTAACTAACTGTACAGAAGGTAATAGGGACAGGATGGAGAATGCACCATCTGTATGTCCTTCTTTATCTTTTAAAGGAAAACCTGTGGTCCCCAAAACACATGTTTTTAGATTTAAAAGAAATTAAATAGGAGCAATACCTGGAACATGGTTTGGGTATATGGGTGTTTACTTAATAGGATTATTGGTCATTTAAATGATAGTCTTTATAACTTTGTCAGATATTTGATGTTATTTCTACATAGTTATAAAAGTTTCTTGTAACACCACAGCCTAGAGACCAATACCGTGGTCCAGACCTACAATGCTGGACGTCCTGTCTGGAGCTGCTGTTGGTGTCTTGATGAAAACAATTACATTTATGCTGGACTAGTCAACGGTTCAGTTCTTGTGTATGATCTGCGAAACACGAGCTGTCATGTCCAGGAGCTAGTGCCTCAGAAAGCCAGGTAAGGAACCACTTTCACCCCATAGGTAGTGACTTCCACTTATGCTGCTACAGTATTGGTACTCTCTGTAATTGATCTGAAATCTCAGGGAGATCCATTTTTCTGAGATTGACTAATCTGGTCTCGCTTTAGAATCATTAAGATCCTTATGGCTTGTGTCTGTTATACTTCAGGGAGTGGGAAGCTGTGGTCTTAGTGTAACCAGACTAATGCAATTGCCTATCATGGTAAAGTGACGTTACGTCTATTGAAAATCCAACTCCAAAATTTATTAGCTGCGTGACCTTGGTTGTATTGCTTGGACTTTTGTAAATTCTTAAGATGGGTGACCATTAGCACCACTATTGCTCCTTAGAATGTGTTGAGCATCGTTTGGGCATAAAGTTCTCATAGTGGAAGTGGGGACTGTGACCTGGATCAAAACTTAAGAGAGTTTTCCATTTCCAATTTCAATATGTGTTAAAGGCAGGGGTAAGACGTCTAAACATAATGGTCTACCAGTCATCTGTCTTTTTCTCATACTATAGTGACTTGTGTTGCTCTGATGCTGGCAACTGTGCCACTGGTATTTGAAATACCTACAGGGTCACCCATGGTGAACAGGTCTCAGCAGAGCTTCTAGGATAAGACAGACTAGGACGAAGGAGAGACCAGATCAATGTTAAGTGCCATTGAGTCGGTTCCAACTTATAGCAAGTTTGTATGGCATTTCTGTGGTAGAATTATATCCATGCACCTATAAGGAAGACCATTTTAATGCCTCTATTATTCAAATAAATATGCCTGGCGTGGTGCAGTGGATTAATGCGCCAGACTGCAAAGCCGTTTAAACTGCAAGGTCAGTGGTTCAAGCTCACCACCTGCTCCTCGGAAACCCTATACAGGGTCGCTGTGGGTCAGAACCGACTCTATGGCACTTAAGAACAACATTATTCAAATGTATGCAGCAACCACTAAAGCCAGTGATGGTGAAATTGAAAAATTCTACCAACTTCTTCAGGCTGAAATTGATCAAATAGGCAATCAAGATGCATTGATGATTACTGGTGATTGGAATGTAAGATGGAAGTTATAACAGTCACTATCAAAAAGAAATGGTTAGTGTTCTGCCATTCCAAGAGGTAGCATATGATTATCTCTCAATAACCGATGATATTGAGAGAAGAGTTATAAATTGCATTGAGAGTACTGGCAAAAAAAAAAACCCCAAGGCTCCAGAAATTGATGGGATGCAAATGGAGGAAAGGTTTCAGTAAATGGTTGCACTCTTAGAAGTACTCACTGGTCTAAGCCATCTGATAGTTGGAGGTCCGTATTTGTGCCCATTCCAGAGAGGTGACCCAACGTAGTGAGGAAGAAATCACCAGACAATATCACATGCAGGTGAAATTTTGCTAAAGATAATTCAAAAATGGTTGCAGAAATCAAAACAACAACGAAATATCATATCACACCAGCATTAATAGCAAAGTGAGAAAAAAATTTTTGGCAAGGGTGTTGGAGAGATCAGAACCCTCCTGCATTGCATTGCTGGTGGCACTGTAAAATGGTTCAGCTACTCTGGATAAAGATATGCTGCGCATCCAAGTGGAAATACCATATGCCCCAGCAATCCCTCTATTTGGTATTTATCTGCAAGAAATAAAGAGCAAGAATGTGAGTGGATATGTGCACACCAGTGTTCATCGCAGCACACAATAGCAAAATGATACCTAAAAACCTATCAATGGAAAAATGGATAAACAAACTTTGGTGCCTATACACGATGGAATACTATGCAGTGTTGAAGAATAACAATGGATCTGAAACACACCATAACATGAATGAACCTGGAGGACAGAATGCTGAGTGAAATAAGTCAATCACAGGACAGATAGTGTATGAGACCACTATTGTAAAAATTCTAGAAAATGTTTTCATGCTAAAAGAAACATTCATCAATTATTACCAGGGGTGGGAGGGAAGGGAGAGTAATTCACTGGCCAGAGGGAAGATACATGTTAACTTCTGTGACTGTGACTGGGAGGGCAATATACAAGAAGAGTGAGGTTGGCAGAAGAATGATGAAGGTAAGTGAAGACTCAAGGAGGTATGCCAGGGTTAAAGTGGGTAGAGGTAAATAGTGATATATGCACAACCTTGGAACAACCATGATCTTTGTATAGCTACATGGACAGAGACACAGGCTGAAAGGGCATGGGAAGAAGAGTGGGGTGTATACATATTTATATAAGAGCTTGAAAGAGAGGATATGATATTTGTACATGAGTAACCAACCACAGGGAAGAAGCGGGATGGTTGTTGTTTCATGAAGAGGATTGCAATCATTGAGATGAAACAAAATATGTGATTTGTTGAATGTGAAACTGATGATCTTGCCTGTAAATCTTCACTTAGTTCACAATAAAAAGTTTAAAGAAAAACAGCGGGTTGTAGCTGCCAGAAATTCAACCCTAATTCAGAAGAGGATTTAGAGCAAGGAATGTCATTACTGATAGCACATGGATCTTGGTTAAAAGTAAAGAATACCAGAAAGATGTTTACTTATTCCTTATTGACTATGAAAAGGCATTTGATTATGTGGATCATGACACGTTAAGATAACATTGCGAATGGACATGCCAGAACACTTAATTGTGCTCGTGAGGAGCCTGTACGGAGACCAAAAGGCAATTATTCAAATAGACAAGGGATACTGAGTGCTTTAAAATCAGCAAAGGAAGTATCAGCACAATACTAGCCCCTGTGAGTTGGATATTATGGATCCATTTTGAAGTGAATTGCTAAAGAGTGGAGGACTACAGTAGAGTTAGAGTCACCTTTGAGGTATTGTCTGACTCTGATTTATAAGACTGCCTTGGAAAAGCTAACTCTTATTCCTTGGATCCTGTATCTGGCTCATTATATCTGACCTACAGTTCACGGGACTTTCAGCCCATCACCTTACCTGATTCGCCAACGCCTGCAGCTTTGTGCATTAACAGCTTGTCAACTGACCTGCCAATTTGGGTTCCTCAGGCCCCTGAAACTATTGTAATCATGAAATGGAGAAATTTGGCTTTAAAAGGGCCATAATAAATCATTAGCTTCCCTGCATATCTTCTCACCATACTTATTCCAATTCTACATCGAGCAGATAATCCAAGAAACTGGATTATATGAAGAACGTGACATCAGGATTGGAGGAAGACACATAATAACCTGCGATGTGCAGATGACACAACCTTGCTTGCTAAAAGCAAAGAGGACTTGAAATAGTTACTTGGATTGCAGATCAATGTAAAGAAAACAAAAATCCTTCAACACTCTCGGAAGCAGCAGTCAAGAAATCAAACTATATATTGCATTAGACAAATTCGCTGCACGAGAGTGATTTAAAGTGTTCAAGTTTGAGGACTAAGGTGTACCTGATCCAAGCGATAGTGTTTTTAAGCACCTCATATGATTGAGGAAAATATGCATGCGAAAGTTAAAACAGTGAATAAAAATGACCAGAGATCAATGCATTCGAATTACGGTATTGGTGAAGTATATTGAAAGTACCAAAGATTGCCAGAAGCACAGCTAGACTTCCTTAGAGGTGAGGATGGTTAGACTTCTTATACTTCGGGCATATCAGGCGGGGATCGGTACCTGGAAAAGTGCAGTATGTATTATGCTTGCTAAAGTAGAGAGTAAAGTCGGCAAAAAAGAACAAGACCTCTTCACTTTCAGCAAGCAAGGTTGTATCATCTGCATATCGCAGGTTGATAATAAGTCTTCCTCCAATCCTGATGCCACGTTTTTCTTCATAGAACCCAGCTTCTCGTATTATATTTGCTCAGCACACAGGTTGAATAAGTATAATGAAAGAATACAACCCTGTCTCACACCTTTCCCAATTTTAAAACATTCAGTGTTCCCATGTTCATGTAGATCTATAGAATATTTCAAATGAATAGTTAAAAGTTTATATTTTTGGTAAAGTATGCAATTTTTAAATATACTTAAAAAAATAATTTTACTTCATAGATAGGGAAACTGCATATAATTTTTCTTACTCTTGAAATAAACTATTTTTCTTCCAAAAAAAAAAAAATAGTGGATACTAAGTTTTAATATAGCAGGGAAAACATATTCACATATGTTCATTTTTATTTTAGATTGCTCTGGTTGACTTTCTGGTGACAAAGATGAAATAAGACAGACTTAGTGGTAGCTTTTGGCACTGTGAGCAAACAGTCATAAGAACGCAGTCTGCAGACTGATGTTTCTGACAGAATTCTATATAGCATGCTGGCCTGATCAGATGCTTACTTAGAGGGATCCCTCAAACCGATTTCTGAATTTAAATGTAGTTGCTTGAGGTTGTATTTTAAATGAAGGCTCTGTCAACTGCAACTTGAAAGCTTTATTAGATGTTAATGAACTGTTTCTTTACTGTTTTTTTTTGTGTATGCAGCGAGCCCCATTACCAGATGGCTCACACCAGTCAAGCTTCCTTGTATCTTCTATCCTATTTGATTATTATTGCTTTTAAAGCATCTGACATCTTCCCTGAAATTGGGTACAGAAGATTGCCTAGATGCCCTTTTTTGTCTACAGAAGGAATGGTAGTTTTATCAGATGCCAAAGGATAGTGATCCATGGACAGTTTGTTACCTCTTCCGTAGAGTAGGAGGGTGCTCAGGGATTCTTGGTATGGAGTCTAGAACCGTCCAAGTACTAGAATGTGAGTTTGGTTCTTTTCCTTTCCCTTCAGGTGCCCGCTGGTGTCCTTGTCCTACATACCCAGAGCTGCGTCCGCTGTATTTCCTTATGGTGGGGTTCTGGCTGGAACCTTGGAGAATGCTTCTTTCTGGGAGCTAAAAATGGGCTTTTCTCATTGGCCTCATGTCCTGCCCTTGGTGCCAGGGGGCTGCACAGATTTTCAGATGGAGACTACCACTCGACACTGTCTCGTGACCTACAGGCCTGGTGAGTGTTTGTGTGTCTACATCAGGTCTTCCCATGGCTTCTTTTGGAGTAAATTGGTAGAGATGAGGGAAAGAGAGCTTGGCCCTGCCATTCACATGGTACTGGCTAAAGCCCCTGGTTAGGTTGCAACTCTTGCTACTGCAGGAAGAGTGGCAACTCCAAGTTCCTCTCTAGAGCTTTCCTCCCTGTATCTCACCCATGTGGACTGGTACAAATCCTGCTGGGTACTCCTGTAGTTCAGTTAGCCACTTCACAAGCCCTTGCAGCATAAAATGAGAATGGGATTAGGAGGCCTGGTCATGTGACCATTGAGCCATTTCAACTCTAAATTTCATGTTTTCTGCTTGCCTTTAGTTCACCTAAGAGAAAGGCAGTCTAATAGGACCTAGACTAGTAACTCATTTGGAGCCAGTGAAGGTAAATAGAAGATGGAGCGCCATGGGTGTATGTGCTTATTCAGCTAGACTTCGTTGTCTCCTGAACCACGGGTAGAACACCTGGTAGCCAACTGTGAACTGGACAGAGGCATGGCCCACCATTCCTAATGACCAGGCAGATATTTCGTGAAAGATAGTCATTAAATTGCCCACACTCTAGCACAGGGCAGGGATTAGACACAGGAAAGTTTGGGTGCTGGGGAGGGGGGCAGTATACAAGAAGGGAGAGGGAAATGGAAGAACAAAGCAGATGGGAGAACAATTAGGCTTGTTTGAATGGGCTAAGTGGGACCGAGATAAAGAATGATGTGGAACTACAGGGCTCTGGGATACAGAGATTGACCCATGCTTGGAATGGGGAAAAGGGAGGAATAATGCTAAGATACTCGGCAGTCTTCTGAATTTTGGTTTTCCTTGCATTATAATATAAAATAGACACCGGAGTAGGGAGAGAAAGGAGTAATCATAAACATCACCATAGAAAGTTTGTAAGTCCGTCTTCTGCCTATAACTGATTGGAATACCTAAAATGGGGCTACAATGTGCCCAGGGAAGGAGGCTTCCTGCGGAGCCTCTGCAATACTTGGGACTATAGGTAGAAGCCTCAACCACATCCAGATCTCCAGAGACGGGAAATTCCCACTTGAACGGACAAGCAAACCAACCTGGAGCGGCTAGAAGAACAGAAGATACTTCTTGAAAGAAAGACCTACAGGAAAAATACAAAACTATAGAGTCAGATGGACTATTACTACAAGAACAAACACATTGCTTGCCCAGGAAACATCAAGGCAAGTGGTCGGGTCCCCTTAATGCAAACCCCCTTCCAAGACTAAGACTCAACAGAAATACGCGCTCTGATTGGTGACCACACGTATCGCCGATAGGGAGAAGTGGGGTAAAAGCAGCAATGAAGTGGCAAGCTAAGCCCTACAATGTTTGGTGGGCTTCTGTGGACCCAGATGGGGACCTGGTTGACCAGCAATGTGGGGAGACCTGGGGACTCATGGGCTCAGAGTCAGCGGCGTGGCCACAGAGGACTAGAGTGGAGAGTGAAGCTACCAGCTGATAAGAAGAGAGGGCATACGCACAAGAACACCCACACTTGCAGATGGTACCCACGTGACCTGGCCCTGATGAATGGATGATCAGAACTCAACCAGGAGAGGAAAAAAAAACAAAAAGAGTGGTCTGATACAATTTGATGAACTTGACCTACACTTATGGATGCAGTAACCCAAAAGAGAACAAACCTTTACAGCAAGAAACATTCCCACCCCCTCCACACACAGAGTAGACAGAGATGGGTAACTTGGACATTGGATACCCAAATTGGTGTGGGGGGACCACAAAAGCAAGAAGTGACTGGCTTACAAGCTTTCAAGATGGAACCTAGAGCTAGGGGGCATGGAGGAAGGCAGAATCTCCAGTGAGTACTATCCAGTCTGTCTAGGTGGAGCTGATGAAATAAAATGCAGAAGGGTCACTTGTGATACAATAGGGAATGATTGTTATCAGGACTGATTGTGAGGGTTGGAAATGTAAAGGTAGACATTTTGTAGCAAGGAAGGGAGTGATTAACTCTCCAGTCTAGGAGCGGAGGTCTCTAGGACCATCACCGGAGAAGAGCCGAGAGCGGGACCCTACCCAGAGAAGCAGCGAGGCCCAAGATAGAGGCAGAGATGATGACGTAGAGTGATGAAGTGGCTGGGGACTCTTCTAACCTTCGTGTTCTTAGGTATCCCAGAGTCACTTAGTTCACAGACTGTGGCTTCTGTGAAAGGCTTTAGGACCATTTGATCGTCTAGTTTCTTTTTATTGTTGCTGTTGTGTAGAGGTTCTATGCAACAGTTAGAACTGCCTCCAGTGGGTTTCCTAGGCCGTGTTCTTTGTGTGTATAGATCACCAACTCTTTGGTCCCATTGGCCCTTGCGGGTTTGAACTACAGACCTTTGTTTGGCAGCCATTCACCTAACTATTATGCCAATTTTTTTTTTTTTTTTTTAAAGTTAAAAATTCCTTAATTTTTTATTCCTGGTACCGCTACCACAATTTACAGTGCAACATACCTGATGTAATGAAAAAGGAAAGAAAGCTACAACAGATAAAAGACGTCAGGAATGTACAGCTAAATGACACCACATTGCAGTTATCAATCGCTGTACTTTTTGTGCACTGTGGCTCTAACAGTCCTAATAAGAAGGGTTTCTTGTTGGAGCTGCAGTAACTTTTCTCACTGTGGCTCATCGTTCCTTCTGTAGCAGATTTTTACCGTTCCTCTCATGCATTGGGGACAACTGTCTCAAAGTGCCCTGCAGCTTTCCTGACAACTCCTCACTCTCGCTCCTCCTAACAACTGTAGCCTCTGCTGAATTTTAAGAACCTTCTGCTACCATATCCACCACTTCCACCACCATAAGGACTGCCTGAGCTTCTTCCACCAAACTACCCCACCTCATCCCGTTTTCATGGGTGCATAAATCATATTTACCACCACCGCCATAGTTACCACGGCCAAAATTTCCTCCTTCATTGTAACCATCATCTCCTCCATATCCTGGTCCAACACCACCATAGCCCTCTCTACTACTATAACCATAGTTGCCACCATCGCCTCCAAATCCGTTATATCCACCATCACCTCCACCGTAACTACCTCTGCTGCCACCACCTTCACCACTATAGCCTCCTCTTCCACCAAAGTTTCCACCACCTCCAAAGTTCCTTCCACAGCCCATAAAGCTGCCAGATCCACCTCCATGACCTCTCTGTGATCCAGCAGACTATCTTTTGCTTAGAAAGGGCCTTTTTCCCTTCATAATTATGCCCATTAATAGTGTGGTATTTTTGAACAACAACTTTATCAACTGTATCATGATCATCAAAAGTTACAAAGGCAAATCCTCTTTTTTCCACTCTGCCTGTCTCCCATAACTTCTCTGGTTTCAATCTTGTTATGCTTTTATTAATAAAAGTAGTCTCCAGTTATAGTCTTCTGTGTCTTCTTTAATGCCATCAATGAAAATTTTCTTCACTGGTAAATGGGCACCAGGCTTTACAGAATAGAATCCTTTCTAGAAACAGCTCTCTTTGGTTTCACTACACGCCCCTCAACCTTGTGTGGGCTGGGTGCACAATCTGTGAGTGTGCCCCACTTCTCCAAAGGTTCTCTTAAACTATCATCTGTAATTTCAAAGCTCAGACCACCAATAAACAGTTTTCGCAACTGCTCTGGTTCCTGTGGATCATGACCCACCCTCCATTTTGAGACCAGGCTTGCCTCTTCCAACTTGAGTTCTTGTGTGCCCCCCCTTTTAATAACATGCTTTCACTATATAAAAATGCACAGTTCTGTGGGTTCAGGAGATCCCCTTGGGGAAGGGATAAAAAAGGCTTTAATAAAAACTCTGAAGAACAATAAATCCCTAAACAGATCTGGTGGGATATAGTGATTTTAATAAAAGATCCCTCATAGGCAAAAAAAAAATCTTGAAGATGACTGGCTTCAACCTAGCCTAAGATTTCTGAATTTCATTTGTGTTCAATTATTTTTTTTCCTGTTATTAATGCTTGCTTTGTAGTTAACTCTTCATGATTTAATACAATTGACTTTTCTACCTAACTAGGTTGTCAGTGTCAGGAACCTGGTTGGTTTTGGTTTTTTGGTTTTGTATCCTCCCCATGGGGCAACACTTAACTTCTCTTTCCTGTAGATAAAAAATACCCCACCGTACGCACCGTGCTAATGGAGATGTCCTACAGCCTGAATGACACTGGAGAGCCAGTCTGCTCATGCCGTCCTGTACAAACATTTTTCGGGGGACCAACTTGCAAACTACTTACCAAAAGTGCCATTTTCCAAAATCCAAACAATGACGGCAGCCTCCTGGTGTGTTCTGGGGATGAATCATCAAATTCGGCCCTGGTGAGCCTTTTAACTTTTGTATAAAGGTTTTGCTAGGGGAAAATGTGAACATTTTTATATGTAAATATTTTTACTTAATATAAGTATATAAAGCAAAAAGTCAAAGTTCTCCCCATCATCCCATGTTAGCATCCCTGTAAGCCAGCTAGCCCAAACTAATGCAGCTCTTGGGTGTGATTCAGCATGAAGTACCCAAGCACCTCTTTTGAGAGGTCTTTGAACTTCAGTCCAATCAGCCCTAGACCAGAGCTGTTGTTCCCTTAACATTGTTCTAACCAGATGAGAACTTGAAATGTGATTACTTGGACTGTAAAACTTAATTTTTAATTTAATTTTATTTGAATTATTTTAAATCAGTAACCACTGTCATTCACTGGAATTGCAGGTGCAGAGGAGCAAGTTGAGTGTTAGCACAGAAGTAGACAGATAAACCCAATGTCTTAGTTCTCTAGTGCTGCTGTAACAAATACCACAATTGGGTGGCTTTAACAAACAGTTGACTTAGCTCGAAGTCTAAAGTCAGGGATGCCTTTGTATCAGTTTTGGAGAAAGATCCTTGTCTCTTTCTTTTGTTTCTGGCTCCTTGAGGCTCTCGGCATCTGTCTTCCCCCATCTCTGCTTGCTCACTGCTTATTTAATCTCTTCAGACTCAAAAAAGATTGACTTGGGACATATCTTACACTAGTCTTGCCTTATTAACACAAAGACTGTTTATTCCCAAATGGGATTATAACCACAGGCATAGAGGTGATAATTGACAACACATACTTTGGAGAGGAGCACCGTTCAATCCATATAACACAACACCTAGGGTATTTTATAGGATAACCAAACCAATGTCCACGTAAGTCAGTGGCAAACCAAAAATTTTGAAGACTGAATCTGCTCTAAATTCAAAGCGTTATTCAGATTATAATGGCCAAATGTAATGTGGCTCTTGCTTGGATTCAGATTTGAATAAACCAAACAATTGAAAAACCAAAAATTGTTTATTAAGTACTACTATTAGGTGCTAGATAAGGAGCTCTGGTAGCGTAGTGGTTGCCAATTGGGACTGCTAACCTCATGGTCAGCTATTCGAATCTACCAACAGTGCCATGGGAGAAATGTGAGGCTTTTTGCTCCCATAAAGATTTACTGCCTGAGAAACCTTATACAGGGTTGCTATGAGTGGTACCGATTCCCCGGCACATCATCCAGGTGCTAGGGGGACTCCTGCTGTGACGCTGTGGTTTCAGCACTGAAATATGAAGCACAAAGTTGGCAGTGCAAACCCACCAACTGCTCTTTGGAAACTCTACAGGGTTCCTATGTGTCAGAACCAACTTAATGGTACTTCATAGCAGTAACAGGTGCTAGGTGTGGTCATTAACTGCCGTCAAGTCAAGTTTTGACCCATAGCCACCCTGTAGAGGGTTTTCAAGGAGCAACTGATGAACTTGAACCCCACAACTTTGCAGTCTAGTGCATTAACTCAACAGTAGTACCACACCAGGACTCCAGGTAGTCCTATGAATTTCTTGTTTTATGTGATGATTTTGAGGTATAAAAAAAGTCTTCATTATTTAGGGTAAATGAGTTGAAATCAGCAAAGGAAAAAATGGGATGAAGCAAATGTGGGTAACACTTTATAATTGTTGAGTCTGAATATTCTTTTTTTTTTTTTTTTTTTTTTTTTTAATAAAAGTTTTTTTTTAAGTGGAAAGAAGATACTAGTTAGAGGGCAAGGACAGGAATTTTGTCTTAGTGGCCCTTCTGTCCCTCGGCCCCTAGAAGATTGGCTGGTAGGTACATCAGTGGAAAGCATGAGTGCTGCACTTTGTTTTCAAACATTTATTGGTGGACTACTTACTAGTGACAACAAGTGATACCACACACTTTAAATTGGTCAGGTGTGCTCTTTGTCTTATAAAGCCCATTTTGCTTTGTTAGTCAGGTGACATTTTCTGTGCAGCTGTCTGGCTCCTAACCTTTTTCTCTGCTTGTCCTCTTTAGCTGTGGGATGCTAGCAGTGGCTCCTTGCTGCAGAAATTGCAGATGGACCAGCCCGTCTTGGATGTCTGCCCATTTGAGGTGAATCATCACAACTACTTGGCTACCTTAACGGAGAAGGTGGTTCACATCCATAGGTGGGAGTGACCATGACCTTGAAGCCTGTAAGACACACTGCTGGTTAATGGTAAAATGTTTGACCATTACTTAGTGGCCCTGAGCAAGCTCCCTGCTTTGCACCTGTAATTTGGATTCATATGATTCAAGGGTCCCGGTCATGAGACACACTACAAGAGTGTTTCTGCTGTGTCATCAAGAGAATACGTGACCAGTAGTCCATCCACATTCTCCATGTCTTGGAGAGTTAAAAGCCTTCCTCAATCTTTGTTAGGTTGAGTCTTTATATTGGGTCTGACTTCCTGGTAAACCTCAGAGAGTGTCCATTCAGCAGTTACTTAGGGTAGGAGTATGCACCAACCATTTTTCTGGGGGTGTGTGACACTCTTAACTTATACCATTATTTGCCTTGGGGAAATTGCCCTGAAGGGATTAGCCACGTTGCTATTCAGTAGATGTATAGAAAGTCTTTCTTGAGTTGAACACAAGAGGGCACTAAAGAACCCTGAGGACGATTTAATTTGTTTCTGGCTCCTGAGACTAACCACCCTGAAGCACCTTGGTCGCTTATCCCCATAGAAGTATGTGTCAGGGGACATAGGGTGTGCTTTGTGGCCGTAACAATAATGTTGCAGATGTTCAGGGCTGAGAAATTTATGAGGCCAGTAGTGGAGGGGGCTGATGAACCACAAACCCTCTCCTCCTAATGCTGAGTACATTAAGTTCAACCCATTCTGAGAGCTACGTAAAGAGACCCATTGTTGAGCATTCAAGAAGACTCCTTTTTTTCCTTCACAGGTTAGTATCTCAGGATTGGTTTTACACTTTTTCTCTCTCTGGGAAAAGATAGTCAAAATTCTTGAGTTTTTCACAGGAACAGAGATGAGGAGGAAGACTCACTTAGGAGAGGGCTTTTATACAGTGAAACTGTTCAAACTGCTACTAAGAGCAGAAGGGTTTTCCTCTCCCTTTCTCTAAATAAAGCCCTGGGAGTGAGAAGTCTTGTTCCATACATGTTCCTCTGATTTCTCCCCTTTCCTAACTTCTAAGTGCTTTGCTAGTAAAGTGGCTTTTCTCAGGAATGTAGTAGCAGTTGAAGGCCTATAGATTTTGGGAAGAGGCCCACCTTCTTCCAAAATTGAGGGCTACATTTTTATCCCAGTAGAGGACTCAAATTTATATCTGTTTCTTTTTGGTAGCAAAGATCTGCTGCCTAAGGCATACAGATAAACTGTCCACAACAAAATATGCCTCAAAGGGCAGGCAGGGCTGTGCCTTCTTGTTTTGGGGATCACAATTATTATAGAGGTGTTATTTTTCTTTTAAACCAGTTCTGTCCTGTCAACTCCTGAGTTGTTTTCAAAGCCTTTCTCACCAGTTTAGGGTTGTTGGGATAGAATTCCAAGTCCCAGTTTGCTTCTTTAGGGGGGGCTTTTATGTTGAACCCATCTTTTTTTTTTTTGCATATTAAGAAACATTTTTGCAAAATCAACGTCTAGACCTGGGAAAGAACCTTTTGAATATGTCAGTGATTAAGACTGGTTAACCAGGCCTGGGGCCCCAGTGGCAGAACAGGATCTGAATTAAAAGGCAGAACTCATCTAGTTTTAGCAGCTGCATCATTTTGGGGCCAGACAGGGTTAGGATTCGATTTTGTTTGCCTCTGGCAGCTCCGAGAACAAAGAGCCAGTGGAGTTTGCATTGAAGGGCACCCCCTGTAATTATTGATTCTCCTAAGCATAGGATTTGGGAGACTTATTTCTAGCAAAGTTGGGTGAATCAAGTCTTACCAATTCCTGAATTCCTGTAACAAATTTGAATGTTTAAGAAGCATATTCATATGACTGGGACTGATTTCTCCAAAGAATCCTCCTCCTCTCACCCCCATTTCACCCACATGATCTTGGCTCTGGAGACTCAGGCTTTGGTCTCCCCTGCCCACCACATCCTGTCACCCCTGTACCGTTTGTAGTTTGAAGTTCAGTTAGCTCAAAATCTTTACACATGCTGTATACCCTTGTATTTGCCTTGAAAATAGGACACTGTGATCTATTTGTTTATTTGTTTTAAAGTTAATATGACAATAAAGAATCTTCCGTGTGTTACAGCTCTTTTGTCTATTTGTCTTTTGTCTGTTTGGTCACCAGAGGCAGGAACACACCTGCTCATCTTGGTAGATCTCTTCTTCCAGTACTGTGTCTGCTCAGAGTGGTTCCTGGATCTGAAGTGAGCATCTTATTTAAACTGTGGAGGTGGTTGAGGCTTTAGCTGGTGATTCTACTTGACTTGGCTAATGAAAGAAAACATGTGTGTTTGGTTCTTCAGAATCTTCCCATACTGGTCATTCGTCTGCTTACTCTTAGATCTCAGGGTCTGGATCCTGCAAACCACATTTCCCAGACTCTCACCTGCTGACTTGCTGTTCATATCCTTACTAGGTGGCAATGGCAGAAGGCTGGAAAATGGAAGAAACGAGAGGAGACTACTTTGGTTCCATGCAGTTTGGGCATCACTCTTTGATACCTGTGTCTCCAGAACAGCAGTGAGCAGTGTGGGCTCCTGGGTTCCTGCTCAGACTGCACACTGGGCTGCTAGTTACCTCCGTTTTTTGTTCTGTTTGAGTTCAAAAATTGCTTTTGTCAGGAGAGTCATAGGGTTGTAGGATACGGCTGAACTTTTTCCAGATAAAAACAGCAAATGGAATATGCAAGTATCTGGGAGGACTAAGCCTATAGGCATAAGCTTATTACTCTAATGAAGCCTGGTGCTCCACAGGAAAGGACAGCAGTCCTGGGGTAGATTTCGTAAACGTCAAATCCAACACTTCTCTCTCCCACAGTCTGTTTCTCATTTCAAGGATTAGCTATAAGTAAAATTCTGTGTCCTCGTCCTGTTATCAATCAACTTTTACTCTCTGCCTTTTATTTATTCCTATGTTTACAGACCGCAAGGTCGGTTTGAAACACAAGGTTGGTAGTTCAAATTCACCAGCCACACCTCAGAAACCCTGCACAGAGTCGATATGAGTTGGAAACAACTCTACAGCACTTAACAGTTTACAAAACCCCTTCCTCTACATTAATTAATCCTTATAATGTGGAATAATGAGTATTGTTATACCCTTTGACAGGAAGAAATACGTTAGAAATTATAATGAAAAATGGCATTTAGATAGCATTTAATTAAAATGTGCCTGTCCTGGTCTGTCCAGTCTAAAATTTTCCATGGTGACAACTAAGTAGAAAAGCTTACTGACAGTTAAGTTGGGGGACCAGGGTGAAAACTTGCTTTGACTCCTTTAATACCAGTGTCTCCAGAACAGCCCACACTGATTTCCCACAAATTATTTCTCCTGTTTTTAAGTTAAAAATAAAGCAGACAATCATGGACACTAGTTGGATATTTTATATTCAAGTCCCCTCATTTGTCAGGTCCCTTCTCTTTTCAATGGAGAAGAGTCACATGAGTTAGAACCACTCAGCTCACTGCTCCTCCTCGAGAGGAAGATGCTCTAAATTGCTCTAGTAAGCTGAGCAGACAGCTGGCTGAATAAGGAAACGTGCTGGTGAGTTGTAATTTGAGGAAGACCATGAACGCTCTCCTACAGAATGGTAATAATTGTATTCAATTACAGACATCAAGCAAAAGGGCTCAGAGTCTTGACATGAGCCCTATTAATAATATAGAACTGGTTTGGACTAAAAGTGTTAGACATTGAGGGAATCAAGTTTCAGAACTTGACAAGTTCAGATGCCTGGATTATAGAAGGTTTTCCTAACCTCTGTGAGCTGCTGACAGTTGGATGAACTATTGATTAACAAAAGTCAATAGGTGGGACCTTGGCAGACCCATTTCTGTCCTGGATAAAATGTTCTATTATTATACCTTCAATCAGTCTTACCAACTGTGATCTGTATCATGCCCATCACCCCTCCTGTTTAAGGTTAAAGCTGTGCTTCCTGAAGGTCCTGATAAATTCTCAAGTTTGATCTCTAGTGGTGATGGGTGAAGGGATAAGTTCTGTTTCAATACAATATATGATAATTGATTGTTAGGTTAGCCAGCTGCTGCCTTTAGGAAGCAGATGGGAAAGTCTGAGGGTCTACATAAGAAAGAGTGAGGGCATTGAATCTGGACAACATGCTGACTGAAATTTGTCCTTTGGTGCCGTCAACTTGGTACCGACTCATAGCAACCTTATGCATACCAGAACAAAATACTGCCCGATCTTGGGCCATCCTCACTACTGTTGCCACGCTTGAGTCCATCAATGCTGCCACTTGGCCAATCCATCTCCTTGGGGGTCTTCCTCTTCTCTGACCCTCCGCCTTACTAAACATGATATCCTTCTCCAGCGACTGGTCCCTCCTGACAATATGTCCAAAGTATAGAGCCAAAGTTTGGCCATCCTGATCTCCAAGGAACACTCTGGCTGCACTTCTTCCAACATAGATCTGTTGGTTTTTTTGGTAGCCCATGGCATTTCCAATATTCTCCAACACCATAATTCAAATGCATGAATTTTTCTACGGTCTTATTTACTTCCTTATTTACTAACTGAAATTAGTCATTCACAAAAGAACAAATATTATATGAGACCAGTTCTCTTCGGAAACCCTATACAGGGTTGCTATGGGTCGGAACCAACTCAATGACACCAAACAACAATGATGGGTAAGAGAGGAGGGAAAATTATTCACAGCCTAGAGAATAAACATGTTAACATGGATGATGGCAGGGAACATACAAGAGGAAGGCAGCAAGAGGCACAGGGAAGAATGAATGCAATTATTAATGTTAACTGTTGGTACATGTAATGGACTCCTGGTGTGGCGCTGTTGGATCAGCACTGGACTGCAGTTCAAACCCACCAGCTGCTCCTCGGAAACCCTATACAGGTCGCTATGAATCAAAACCAACTGGATGGCTCTTAACAACAACAATGAAGAAAAATATATGATTTATTGAATCTAAAACTGACGACCTGCTCTGTAAAACCTTAACTCAATTCACAATAAAAAGTTGGAAAT